GGGGGGGGGGGGGGGGGGGGGGGGGGCTGGCTGGCTACCATCGTCTGAAGATACATTTTGCTGTTCCTGCTGCTGCTGTTGCTCTTGACTAATTAGTTCAGCTATCAAAGAGCCATAAAACAGAAACTGAAAACTGAAAACTGAAACGAAAACTCTACACGAAAATAAAGTTGAACAAATTTGTCAACTTCCGAACCCAAACAGAAAACGAATCCAAATAAAAATTATTATAAATCTTAGCTCTGATAAAAAATAAAGGGGAAAACGACAAGCGACGGACCGACCGACCGACCGACCGACTGTAGGTATGTAAATCATGGGCTGGAAATGCTCTCGAATATGTTTCTGATTCGGTTGACAAATAAACGCCTCTGCATTGTCTGCGGCACTTGACAAATGTCCGACGACTCGCATCCGCATCGCATGTGTATCTTTGTATCTTTGTATCTGCGGCTCAAACGTTGCTGTTGCTGAGACCTTTGGGGGCTGGCTTTGTCTCTGAATCTGGAATCTGGCTTTAAATCTGTGACTGTGGCGCCAGGCAGCGCGCATGCCACATTAAAAATTAGTTGAGCTGCTTCGTCGACTGTGTGATTTCCCCCTCTCAGCGAACGGAGGAACCCCTGCCCCCTCCCCACACATCCCACAACCCCAGTCCCATATCCCCCCATTTGTTTTTATTTGTTTATAATTTTTCAAAGCTTAAATGGAGCGAAGCACCACACAAAAAAATAACACAAAGAAAGAAAAAGAAACCACGGCAGTGCCATAGTCGGGGGACAACAGGTTGAAGCTTTGAAGCTTGAGAAACGTTCATCATTTGAATGGATTGAATGGGTTGAATGGATTGATTGGACGGCAGCGTCATATCTATATGGCAGTGGCACTATCTTTCTATCAATTATCCAAATGGGGAAGCCGCACTCTTTGTTCTCTTTGTTTTATTCCATCGGGGCTTAAGGCAATGACAACGAGGTGAGCCTCATTACTGACTGTCCCTCACAGTGCGTGCCAATAATTGTTGGAAAATGAAGTGAAGCATTTTGATTCAGCGTCCCATGGTAGGGCAAATGTGTGCCAGTGCAAAGGCAAGCGAGAGGGAACGTTGTGAGACGTTGCTGTTGTCGCAACGCAATTGAATACTGAAAGAAGATCGAATCCGTATTCGTCCAAGCAAAGCGGTCCTCGGGCACTCGTTTTTTGCCATCTTTACTTTTGGTTTGATTCTGCCTTACAGCACTGGCGTACACTGTACCACAACACATTGTTGTTGTGGCTTGTTGGAGGGAGTCTGGTCAAGTTTCTTGATCTATGACTACCTTTGAAGTGCCCCAGACGACCGTTCAACCTCTTCCATGTCAAAGTTCGAGGCGAACTGAAGGAAATCGAAGAAAAGGAAAGACCAAAAGGAGGAGCAGTGGAAGGAGGAGGGGAGAAATAATGTTTGTGTTGGCGCCCAACGTGGGGCCCCCGTGCAACTAAACTTCTGTCCCGTGGCGCGGGACGTCGGCAAAAGTTCTTAAGAAGTTATTTCTTTTTTTTCTGTGTCATGCCCCCTCGCCACCCTTGGCCAGACTGTGGCTGCTGGTGCTGCTTCTGCCCGAGCGTGCCCCTTCTGCTCTTCTGTGGCTCTTTTGTTGTTGTAAAATTTATTATAAAACTCACAGCAGGCGGTCACTCGACTTGACTCAACTCGACTCGAGTGGGGGGAATGGGTTGGGGCTCTGCAGAGCTGTGGAGCTGTACAAATTTCCCTGTTGACATCTTTTGGACCTCTCCCTCTCTCTCTCTGTCGGTCCATCGCCCGCTGCTCAGTTGATGAGCTGCTGACGAACTGCTCAAAAAGTCTTTGATGCCACCACGGGATCGGGTTACTCAAAGACAAGCCAGAGAGTTTTCGGCCCCCGAAAGTGGGTGCTACTTTCCATGGAAATCAGCTGGAAGCTCCCATCCGAATATATTGGGGGGGATGGACATTCGATACGCTTGATATGTGCTGCAGTGTGCAGCAAACACATCTCTTTAATGAAGATGCAAATGTGTTCTCCCCTGCCACTGACAGCTCACAGATGTCTCTCTCTCTGTGTCTGTGTCTGTGTCTGTCTCTGTCTCCGCACCGATCATCGTCTCGTGAGACGATTAAGATCTGATGCTGTTGCCTCCTCTTCAACTTCAACTTGTTGGCATTTGTCACTTTCGTTTAGATCTGAAGAGGGACACCACACAGCACACACTGGCACTTGGGTCGCCCCCCTCCGTTCCACGAGAGAGGCTGTAAAGAGGTGTTGATTGTGTCACACTTGTCGCCTTTTCGAGAAGAGCAGAACAGAAGAGAACATAACCCAAGGAATCGGACACACGGCACAGCAGAAACAGCAGAAACAGAAGAAACAGAAGAAAGGAATGCCGCCTAAATATCCTTTAACTGTAACCAATGACACATCAAAGGGCCAGACACCGAACACCGAACACCGAACACGGAACACCGAAACCAAGAGACTTATGGGGCAGACAACAAGCCAATGGCTCGTTGCGCCTGCGTAATCCCCGTTAAGCACTAGAATTCGAATTTGAATCGGTTTTTGGGCTGAAACAGCTGTGTGGCCAGCAGCGAGCAGGAGGGGGACAACCTGCTGAACGGCTATGGTTACGGTAATGGTTATGGTTATGGTTATGGCTATGGTGCTAGGTGCAAGGTGCATTCCTAAATTTCATAAATTCCAACCACTGCTCGTTGCCATTGTTCTGGCAAACACGAACCTAATGATGTTGTTGAGGCATCCAGAACACATGCTGCGGATATCCTTGACAGCACAGCACAACATCTGTGGGGGGGGGGGGGAAAGGACTTGATTAGGATTCAGAGAAAGGCGGAGAAAGGAGCGTGGAGGAGTTGCTCGCTAGTTTGCTAGCTGTCAATGGTTCCCACCTCTGAGCAGATGATGGATAGCAGATCAAGAGTCGTGCCTGGGAATCGCCGCAGTCGTCCAGTCTTTTGCCTCCACTTAAGTTTTGCTACTTTAAAAATGCTTCCGCAATTAGTAGTCGCGACTCGCGGCTGCCTTGGATAATGATTATGATATCCACTTTGGATTTTGCACAATTTGTTAGCTGCTCCACGAGGCTTAGCCTGCCTAAATCCCATAAAAGAAAATCCATTATTCACATAATCCGCCGACGGAAGACTCATTTTCTATGCGACTTTCACACACGATGGCAAGCGCTTCGGACATGCACTTTACATTGCGTGTTAGCTAACAGCAGTTTAGCATTTTGCTGCCTTTCTCTGCGCTCCTCACTGTTAGAAGCGAGGGGACATTTAACATAGCATGTTAACAGAACAGTCTCACTGTTAAGAGCGAGGAGGCACTTAACATTGCATGTTAGCTACAGCAGTTTAGCATTTTGCTGACTGTCTTTGCCCTCCCCACTGTTAGGACGAAGGGGGCACTTAACATAGCATGTTAACAGAACAGTCTCACTGTTAAGAGCGAGGAGGCACTTAACATTGCACGTTAGCTAACAGCAAACAAACATTTTGCTGACTGTCTTTGCCCTCCCCACTGTTAGGAGCGAGTTGACATTTAACATTGCATGTTAGCTAACAGCAACTTTACATTTTGCTGCCTTTCCTTGCGCTTCTCACTGTTAGGAGCTAGCGGGGAAGATCCTTCTTCTGCTGCTATTATTTTCCTTTCTTTTTTATGGAATTTGTATTCCTTTGGCATATGTATATAAAGGGCTCTGTCTCTTGGACTGCGACTGGGTATTGGGGACTGGGATGTTGCATGGCGAACATTGAACTTCCGTTTTTAATGCTCTGCCACGCCCACGCTGCCACAACGACCACCGCCCCACTCATTCAGTTTGCTTTTCGCTCTCTTTTCGGACAGACATTAATTTTATTTTTATTGTATTTGGTTTTGGTTTTGGCTCTGGCTTTGCTTTTGGTCTCCCATCGAAAAGGCCAAAGCAATGAAGCGTTGCAAGGCGGCACGGCGGCACGGCGGCAAGGCGGCACGGCGCACAACGTTGAAAAATCGCGTCCGACTATTTTTTATGATTTTCGTTGTTGTTTGTTTTATTTGTTGAAGCGGTGCGGTGACCGCGTTTGCTTTAGTTTAAACATTTGCCAGTCAAAGCGCGTTTAATTTATGCCTTTTTTATGCTGATGAAACCCCAGCCTCAGACCGGGTACACCACTTAGAGGCCAGGCCGCATTGTGGACTAAAACATAGCCGATCGTCGTTAAAGCACTGTCTGCCCCCAACTCTGGCTCTTCCTGTCTCCAAAGAAGGGTTTATCTTGTGATAATCCAACAAAATCCAACACAGATTTCAATGCCATCAAAGCCCAAGCCGGAAACTTTCTCCAAGCAAGACAGAAACAGAAACAGAAACAAGAACAGACGATGGTCATCCCTGGCCATCCATGGCAATCCTTTAGACAATGATGGACTGATGATTTCGTTTGATTCGTTTTGAGCTGGCAGCTAACAGTGAGCGCTGCAGCAGGGAGTACGGGCGTACGGGCGTACGGGCGTACGTGAGTCAGGGGTCGCCTTGTCCCTGTTAACACCAGCGAATGGGATTGTGGCGTTGCGATTTTGGACCTGTGCTCACCTGTATGACGCGCATGGGCAGTCCCGTTTCCTTGGCCAGTTGCTCCCTAATGTGGCGTGTCGGTTTCGGTGTCTGATTGAATGCCGTTTTCAGTACCTCCAGCTGTTTGGCCTTGATGGTGGTGCGGGGACCGCGACGCTTCGAACCATTGGCATCGTCGGGACTTTTGTTCTCCGCCTGTGAATCGCCGCGACCATCCGGATCCCCATCCAAGGAGCCCTACACAGAGAGAGAGAGAGGAGAGAGATTGAAGCTCATAATCATTTGCCAATCATTAATCAAGAGAGAGAGAGAGAGTGGGAGGGAGCTCCCTTTCCTTAAGCAACAATTTAATGATCGACTGATGTGAGCTCTTACCTGATCTGAGTCGTCATGGGTATTTTTGCTATCGGTGCTCATGCTTTGTACTGATATATCCGATGTGCCAAGCGGTCCACCCGCTGAGTCTGGGCCATTCGGTCCGAGTACGCCCAATCCAAGTGCCGTGGCCCGCAAATGCGGCGGATCATCATCGTCATCGTCTTCGCTCGCCGAGCCCATTAATGAATCTACAGACAGAGAGAGAGAGAGAGAGAGAAGAGAGAGTGGAGTGGAGAGGATGAGTACAAATTGGCTTAACAAATGGCAGAAGGAGGACTTCTAGTTATTGTGTCATGTTCGTTCCTTCCTGCCTTCCACCCATTGAGAGGCACTTAAAATACAATTGCAATAAATAATATTTGTGCGGGCATAAGCCGTAAACGACGCTCTGATTCTCCTCTCAGTTTTGGTCACGTGTCGCCATTTCATGGTCTAAGTAGCTGCCTGCCTGCCTGCCACACAGCCACACAGCCACACAGCCACTGGGGGCACGTGTCAACTGCTGATGCCTATATAAGTTGATTAGGGACTCGGCAGACCTGGTCTGATCTGTGGGCCATGCAAAATGCTGACACGCGTCCCTGTCCGTCCTGCTGCACTCTCTGCTCCAGATAAGCGCCACGCCACGAGACCTGCCACTAGCCAGAAGAGACGCATTGGGCTGTGTGTTGAAACGTGTCACTCATGGCAATCGCTCGATTCGATTGTCTTTATCTGGCGTCACAGACAGCAGCAGCAGCAGAGACACAACCCCCGAAATGGGAGAATGAATCTCTGCCAGTGCCGCACACAACTGGTCCCCGGGGGGACACCTGACAGACAGCCCCAGAGACTTCAACTCTGAGAGGCAGAGACCCCTTGGGACAGTTCTTTCTCGCAAGGCACTTGCCAAAAATAAATTACACTTTATTATGCATAATCTAATCCGCACCAGATGCGACCAAGCGACAGACCGATGTGCATCCCATCCATCCATCCGCATCTATTCATCCACCAGGGGGTAGGTTGCTTCGTTGCTTCGTTGCTTCGCTCTGAAGGGGCATATGCCGCAAATTAGGTTGCAAGCAACAGGAACAACAACAACAACAACAGCAGCAGCAATACCAGCAGGGAGGTAGGGGGGAAAACCCATTAAACCGAGACCCAGGTGCCTCTCCTCCGATTCCTATTCCTATTCCTGCCACCTGTCAAACTAGCGCCAGGAGATCCAAAAGCTTAACGCATTCTGAGCCTCACAGATGAGAGGATGAGGCTGATGTGATGTCGAGACGAGACCTGAGCTATGATGACCACAATCATAATCATAATCATAATCATAATGATGATGAGGCACAGTCATCATCCTGGCTGGCTGACTGCCTGCCTTGCAGTCATCATCATCATCAAGTCATCCGTTGAAACCAAAAGCATTGCTTGGCAGATTGGACATCATCTCTTGAGCCTACAGATTAGGCTCTTGGCTTTTGGTAACAAAAACCAAAGGTTCATTGAAATCTATTCCGCATAAGAGACCAAAGTGATCCACAGAGCTTCGGCGTTCTATTTTTTATTTGTCATAGAATTTGCTCATCAAATTGTACCTGTAAAAGATGAATCCAGAATTTGTTGAATTGTTTTCAGTGCAAACAAGAACATTTAAGAAACTCCCGTTGGGTGACCTAAAACTTAAATCCAATTTCCAAGAGTTGTGCCACAAGTCCTTTGGCCCTCTCTCTTTGTGTGTGTCTCTGTTTGGGACAATTGACCCGCAGTGAGACCCGTGAGACGAGCCACCGTCAACCACCAATGGAACAAACGAAACGGAAATTTCAAGTGTTTACCAGCATCGCTTTGGTCTTTACTCGCCAGTGCCACATGCCACATGCCACACAGAGCCACAAACCCAGCCCAACTGCGATTCGATGCCATTCCATATGGGTGGTGGCAGGAGGGTAGGGCGCTGCCAGCGCTTCAAGTTGTGTTGTAAACACATGTTAATAAACACGCGGACCAGAGACCCAGAAAGCAGAGTTGCCACACGGCTTCAGGGTGGAGGGGGTTGAGGGTTGTCACTACCAGCAGCAGCAGCAGCAGCAGCAACAGCTTGCAACAAGCAGCGGCAGCAACAACAGCTCGGCGCTTTCGAGAGCATCACTCAAATTAACTTTGAAAACCATTCAGGAACACTTCATTTGATTGCCACAAAAACCGTTGCTGCCACAGCCACAGCCACAGGCACAGGGAGAGCGACGCGGCAACAGAGAGAGACCTTCTGCCGCTTGCCCCCTTCTGCCACAAGCAGTTGTTGTTTGTAATTGTTGTTGTAGCAATAGCAATTATGCCATTCGAAGCAGCAGGAGCAACCCTCGCCCAAAAGGGGGTGGCAGGCATTCCCACCTCCCCCCTCCCATGCAGCCATAGAAAAGTTCAAACACTCATTTTTCCGCTCAGAAAAATATTTCAGTAACCTCTGCGGGGGCGCCCTGTACCGCCCCCAACCCCTCCGTACTCTGTACTCTGTACTCTGTTGTCCTGTTTGTCCTAGACAAACATCCCAACCAGCGGCAGGAAGACGAACAAGTGCAGCATCAGCAACAGCATCATTTTCTGACTGACAGTTAGGCAAACAGACAGGCAGATAAATAAACAAAGGCGCCTTGCCTCACCACTTTGACCCCGCGGAAGGCGTCTCTGGCATCATCTGTTTGCATAGCCACAAGTGCGACACACAGCGACAGTTGCACCTCTGCAAGGAGCACTTGCTTTACTCCTCACTCCCCCGTGGGCTGTTCCTTGTGGCTCGCATCATTAAGTAGTCGCAATGTGGGCCCCAAGCCAATGCCGATACCCGCGCTGCTTCCACTCGCCTGGAAATAGTTGTGTCACGTGAATCGAATCTACCTGTCATTGCGGCAGGAGCAGCTTCCTCAAGCGAAAGGGAAAGGGGGGGGAGGACTGCCACTGGCAGTGCCACCCTCTTTTGTAACCCCCCAAATCGACATAGACAAAGCGCACACACATTAATTTCGAATTAGTTTTGCATCATGTGGTTCACGATGCAGAAAAATCGACTCCACTCTGACGGGGTAGAACGAACCTTCCCTTGGCTGCCCTTTGCCTTCCCCCCCTGCCAAAAACAGTAAAGAAAAGCGACTCGAGCGACGCTGCTCCACAGAGTAGCGTGCCACAAGGAGGCACTGGGATTCCTTCGTGTTTATGGGCAACTATTAAGTGCACAACGTAGTGCGGCATGAAGAATGCGGCATGGGACGTGGAACAGATCGCTGGATTTTCTACATGAGCGCATACTGAAAGTCGTTTGCCGTCGCAACTCGCAACTCGCAACTCGCAACTCGCAACGTTCCTGCCTCTTCATTCCATTCATGCAACGCGAGACCGTGTGGGGAGTGGGGAGTGTGGAGTGGAGTGGAAGCTGCCAAGGATGGAGTGGAGTTCGTTCCTCGAAGTTGTTGGCTGTAAAATTAGGTTAATTCCTGTCAGTGCGTTGCTGATTTGAATTGTCACACACACGGGACAGACCGACAGACCGAAAGACCGAAAGACAGACAGACGGGATACATGAGAGACACAGATACAGATACTTATGGTCTCCGTCTTGGCTGTGGGATTTACATTGAATGCCATCCACATTGACGTTCGCTGACGTTTCTGCTGCTGCCACAAGTCTCCCATTGCCATACCCATTCCCATTCCCATTCCCAGATGCAGGCCGCACCCCGATCTCGCGGCTTAGTGGACGACGACTCTAATCCCCTGACTGCCTGTCTCTCATCCTGCATTCATGTGTATTCTGTGTGTGTCTGTCTGCAGCTCTTCTTTCGCCTCTGCCTCAGCCTCTGCCTCTGCCTCTCTGCCACATGACAGTTGCGCAAGCAAACAAAAAATTGTCATCGGGTGGAAAATGTTATGCAATTCCATCTCTGGGCCGATTCCATAACCGATTGACAAGTCATTCAGGGGGAGTGATTGAATTCTGAAATGTTTTGCGATTAAAACCCAAGAAGTGGCTGCAAAATAAATCAAAATATTTCAAGTACACAATCCTAGCGCCATGATTAACATTCAACAAACATTTAAAAATGAAACTCAACTCTTTAAGTGCTTCAACAGCCGCGTTATTGGCCATTGAAAAGTGGTACCTTTCGGTGTTCGGGGTATCAAAAGTTGATCCCCTTTCGCTTTGGCTCTTCTGTGGCCTCGGGGTTTTCTGTAAGGATTTGCCCAGTTCAACTCCACGAACTTCACGAAGTTTATTGTTTGCTTCTAAAGTGCCAAACAATACGAAGTTGCAGACCTCTGCTGCCTCCTGCCCTGCCCCATTGCTCTCTATAGAGAGCTCCACTGAAAACATCATCAAAAGTCAAAGTCACAAAAACTCAAAAACTGTTTCTGACACTTTGAGCGGCGACGGCGACGGCGACGGCTATGGCGATGGCAGCCCCCGACGGAATCCCCTGAGACAGATATCCCGTGTGGAGGTTCTGGAAACTTTTGGGAGCCCAAAGCCAAAGCCAAAGCCAAAGCCAAGGCAACGACAAATGAATTAAACAAATGTTTTGCCGGTGTGTGTGTGTGCAACTATTTGCGAGGGTGCAACAACAGCAAATGCCACAACAATTTGTAATGCCGCATCAAAGCATGAAGACAGAGAGAGAGAGAGAGAGAGAGAATCGTGGCACCCTTCGTTCCGTTCGCTCCTTCAGCTCCAGCTTGAGGCACTGAGGAAGGAACCCCATATTTGGGGTGTGGGCTGCGGTGGGTGGCACGGGACAAGGGACAGCCAGGGGGTTGTGTGTTTCCACTTGACTGAACAGCATGCCAAGTGGCCAGAGAGGGGCAAGAGTTCCAGTGAATGAAGCAGCACGAAAGCAGTGGCATGGGGCATGAAGCAGCACCAGAAGGAGTTGTGCCAAGCATGTACAGCGGGGGGGGCTGCAGTGGGTGGTGATGTTTGTCTATAAATTTTAAATGTCTGTGCACGCAAGACACACAGAAAGAAATTAAGTGCAAGCTGCCACAAAAGACGAGTCAGAAACTTGAGGAGAAGCAGCAAGTTTTGGACAGCTTTCGGACACTCATTACCAATGACCGGAGGGGCACAAACCAAGCAGAAAGAGAGAGAGTAGAGGCTCTCTTTTACCCTCGGTGTGTGTGTGTGTGACCTTGACATGCGTTGCCACTAAATGCC